ACAAAACCAGATAAGCAACAAAATCAACACAAAAAAAAAAAACAAAACAAATGCAATTATATACAATAACAACAACAACAAAAACAACATAAATTTCCCCGCGAGCGTTTCCCGCCAAAACGACGATCTTCTAAAATCATTTCCAAATCGTTCAAACTTCCTCTTCAAAACGATCAGAAATATCAGTGATTGGAGCGTACAATGACTTTTCCTAATATCCAGAGCAATAAAATAGATGCCTTTCGATTAAAGAATTAAGGGGGAGGGGGATTCGACGATTTAATGGAGAGGATAATGGGATGGGAAAAGAAAGGTTAGGAAGGGTAATGAGTGTGATGATGGTGGTGAGATGGGGGAGGAGGATTTGATGGGGAGGATAATGAGGTGGATAGGATAATGGGATGGGGAGGACAATAGGATGTGGAACAAGATGATGGGGAGGATAGGGAGGTAGATAGGATAATGGGATACGACAGTAAGATGTGGAACAAGAAGATGGGGAGGATAATGAGGTGGATAGGCTAATAGGATGCGGAATAAGAGGATGGGGAGGATAATGAGCTGGATAGGATAATGGGATGCGACAGTAGGATGTGGAACAAGAGGATGGAGAGAATAATGAGGTAGGCAGGATAACAGGATGTAAGACAAGACGATGGGGAGGATAATGAGGTGGATAGGATGATGGGATAGGGAAGACAATATAATGGGGAGGATAATGGATAGGATAATGGGATAGGGAGAACAATAAGGTGAATAGGATAATGGGATGGGGGAAACTGAGGATGAAGAGGCTAATAAGGTGGATAGGATAATGAAATAGGGATAGAGAGGAGGAGGACGCTATAGGGATTAGGAACATAATGGAAAAATCAAATGACGAGATGGTATGTAAAGGGATGAAAAGCATTAGGATAGAAAAATAACAATATGGGGAGGGAAACGGAATAAGGATAATGTGGAGAGTAAGAGGGGAATCATAATAATAAGGATAAGGACAAGATAATGTAAGGAAGAGGGGGAATCGTGTCACTGGGCAAGATAATGTAATACCCACGACGAAGCATAAGAAAACGGTTAATAATCCAAGAAAGATGAACGGAGGATAAGAAATATATAATGGGGGATAATCTGGGGAAATAGAGAAGACGCGAAGAGAACTGCAAAGGTGAAATAAACGATGATGATAATGAGATTGAGAGTTGTTCTTAGCGCTAAAGGACACGTACTTGAGAGAAGGAGATTATCTCAAGAGGAGGAATTTGTCATTTGGTGAAGAGGGGACTTAAAGGGAGGGGAATAATCGCATTCAAAAGTGGAGTTCATCTTTAAATACTTTGTATTCCACGAATTGAAGGACTTTTTTGGTGGGTTTGTGTTTTTGTTTTGACAGCTGCGGTCCAATCCGCTTTGTATGATTAAAAAAAAACTGTAATCCGAAGTTTATCCTGTGCTTTAAAAGAGCAAAGTATAAAAAAAGTAAATGTTAATTCATCACTGGGTTTTGGAGTGGGAGGATATTTTCCGTGGTTGTGCATCCACTGTTCACATAAATATATCTGGCCGAACTTTCTATTATATTTCATAGTTTAAATGGATAACATAGTTGCAGTTTCAGGTCAGTGATTTATATGTAAACATATATGTAGTTTGCATTCCTGCATCCCACACCCATCATAATTTTGTAGAGTTTTATCACGCATGTAAACCTTTGTGTTGTATAACTGTGTAATAACAGGAACAAGTTATTACCATTAGTAATAGATATAAACAATCTGTAATAAACATAAATATAATTAATAAAATAACTGGTAGAACCATACTTCCCTTACTGTGAAGTATCCTCGCCAAATGGATACGTTGCTCAAAGGATGCGAGCTCTTCTGAGGACATTGGAGGATTGCATGGTAAGAGGATAATGAAAGACAGTGCGGTTATCTCTGTTTTGTTTTCCTTCTCTAGAGTACCTACAACCGTCAAGCAACTGCTTGCACTTTTTCATACTCACGAAATTCTTTTTCAGGTTGTGTCTTAATGTACAAAGTCTGAAGGCGTTATTTGGGCCGACCGCGCCGGCAACAGTCACTCCACGTCAACATTTCTTTCGCTTTAGGCTCTCGTTCACCAGAGGACATTATGGCAACCCATGCTCTTTGACCCTACGTGACCTGACCGTCGCCGCGCCAGGGCCGGCCCAAGCAGCGGCCGGCCGTGCAGGAGCGCCGCCTCGGCCCGGCTGCGCCACTGACGCCACGTCCGGCGCGAGGGAGCGGGCCTCGGCAGACCTCGGCTCCGCTCGGTTATTTGTACGAGGGTCATGAACAGACGCGATATCCTTATCGTTTTCTCTCTATAGAAAAGTCTAGCTATTTTCATGTGGATCTGAGTTCAGTCGGTGAAAGAAAGACAAGTGACAGTTCTCTCAAGAACGTCTCTGTTACTGATGGTACATTGGGTGGCATTGCGATGCGATCTACTTTATTTCCCAAAGTTTCTCTGGGGATTATTAAGTACTTGTAGCCGCGTGTGGCTTGCAGGCCTTGGGTGAAGTTGTGTCGTTCCCTCCATCTCTACGGACAGAAAAGAGAAGCAGAAACGGGAAGAAAGAGCGCAGACAAACCGCAGCTGAGAGGAGGTCTCGCCTCATTCATCAATGCATCCCGCACACAAAAGACAGATACTTAAGCACGTGAACGCGCAAGCACACACACACATGTATGTATGCATGTACATGCATACATACATCCATCCATATATATTTATACACAAACACACATGCGCGCGCGCGTGTGTATATATATGTGTGCATATATATATGTATATATATGTATATATAAATATATATATGTGTGTATATTATATAAATACACTCACACACATGCTTACATACATACACGCACACACACACACACACACACGTGTTATGTATATGTATATATATATATATATATATATATATTATATATATATATATATATATTATCATCTTGTATATAAGAATGCATTTATGAATATATATACCATGAATATATCGAAAGTATGCGTATATAAACTATACATAAATATGTATGCTTTTACAATTTACATTTTTTTTACAGTTTGTCCAAAGAAGAATAGATAGAAAAATATAGATAAAGACATGTTAGATAGGAGAGAGAGAGAGAGAGAGAGAGAGAGAGAGAGAGAGAGAGAGAGAGAGAGAGAGAGAGAGAGAGAGAGAGAGAGAGAGAGAGAGAGAGAGAGATGGCGCAGACACGTCATGGCGTCAGTAAGCTTAGGGCACCAGAAAGAATAGCTGTTGTTTTTTCTTATAATTGTTTACACTTCTTGTACTGGCCTTGCTTACCTTTTTAACAGTTTCTTCATTGCATATCTGAGATTGCATAGTTGCAACAATAATGAACATCTGTGCTAAAATTACATCTATATGCTGTGGAATAGTCTCTTGCACTAAAACGCCGCGTGCAGACTACTGTAATGCTATGTTTATTTCTCTTCTTGTTTCTTACTGTTTGCAGAACATATACCATGGACAAAAAACATCAAAACCAAACTTAAAAATGGTGTGGAAAGTCCGCAGGCATCTGAGGCCATAACAGGTTCACATAATTATGACTTAACGACCAGTGTGAACAATTTCGACAGACAAGAACAACCATTTTCATGGAACCAGGTAATTAACGAAAACAGAAGGAAAAAATACCCGATACATTTTGATTTTTTGCAAACTAGGGATAAAGAGAAGGAAAACAGATGAATCAACCTTTTTGTTTCTTTTTTTCAGTCCTGAAAGAGAGTTTTATTTCATAGAAATCTGTATGAACAGATACTATGGGAATTCTGGTCATAGGGTTATTAATTCTTCGTGTAGATAAGCATGTGAGACTCCGCAGGTGTAAGCGAACTGTAATAAAAAAACATCGTCTAACCAAATGTTTTATTAAGAAATAGCTGCCTTCGTCATAGGGTCTGTCAATATACTATTAGAATCGAGTAAAGATGCTTGCTTGCTAACAACCAAATGCTGTCGTATCCAATTCTTAAGAAAATAACAAATCAGTCATCAGTGTTTTTTTTTCTTACCGTCAAAGAAGCAATACAGTAGAAGCTACAGCATAAATCTACTATTACAGGTATGATGAGTGGCTGTTCTCAAGTTGTAAAGTACGTTTTACTCCTAACATGTACACGACAACCATACAGGTTTCCCCACAAAACACAACATTCACGAACCATTGACATTATCAAACAAAAAACCGTAGTGTAGACTGACTAAATTTCCCATCGACAGAGCATGGGAATATACCGTTATCTTAAATAAATAAAGCTCCGCCAATCTTGAGACCAAAGCAACATTTCACATCTCAAAAGCAAAGAAAAGAAAATCATAAGCAAGAGCTAGTTTCAGCCATATATATATATATTCTTAATGCTTTGACAAATGTTCCCAGGTCACTAGGATCAAACGATTAAGGCAGTAAGAGCTATTATCCCGCTCGTGAATCACAGGATAACGTGTCTAAAACAACATCTACAATTTTCACGGCAACAGCGTCCAGTGGTGGACATACCACACATATAGGTAGTGTGACCATGCTGTACCACGAACAGCAGAACAGTCAGATTCACAGAGAAAAAAAAATGAATATCAACCTCCGTTGCGTCCTGACACAAGAAGAATCCGAACGCGTGGTAGTAGTATGTATACTTGAATGTCTGGTCATCATATCATGCATTCTGACGAGCAGCATGGAAACCAACACTCTGGAGAGAGAGTTGCGGAGGGAGAAGTGTAGTGAACGAAGGAAAGAACTGAAAACACAAGGCGAGAGGAGAGGCAGCATGCTCGAATGGAAACCAAGGTGTGACGAGGTAAGGCAGTAGATGAGACTTGCTTGCTGCCGGGAGCGCCTCCTCGTCGTCAAGGCGGGCGGCCGCGCAGACCTAACCTCACGCGAGAGCCTAAGGTCGAGAATCAAAGCTTCGCACCACCACAGGTCTTCCAATAGTGTTCATTTATTGGACAAAAGTTATTTCATTTACAGACTCATCATCTCTACATCACTAAGCACAATTTGAACTTGCATTTTTACAAGGCAAAGTTTTCCACTGACAAGCAGAAGAGAGAGCATTAAAACTGCTTATCTATGTACACATTATGCTACACTTGTGAGTATTTCTGTCATTTGCACTAAGATAGTGAGAATGCAAATTCCGAGCGTGTGCACGGAACCCAAGCAAACATTCTCGTGGTGAATCAGAAGGAGGTAGTTCGTCCCCACGATTCCCTCTGGAAAGTGCTTTGAATATTTATAAATCCGGAAAGTGAAAATGGATTCTGAGTTCGAGCTGCCTTCCCCTGATTCATCGGTGAATGGAAAATCAACATTACTGGAGAGAAATAGGTCTAAACCCTGGAGGGGTCGTTTGCATCTTGTGCTTTCGGGGAGTTCATGGTTAGCAAATGGTGCATTGTCAGTTAATTTGGGCTGATCGGCTCTGACCAGTGACGGTTCAGACCACTGTCTCCAGCAGCATCAAGGGACAAATGATAAAACAGTGTCTGGAGTTTGTTTAACAGGTGCGAAAGGCAGTGTGGAACTCTACAGCAATCCTGCTTCATCCACTCTCTGTGTAAGGCAGAGGAGGCTTTTCCGAGTAACCTTTTTGTTTCTTCTTCACAAAACAATTCATGACATGTAAATTCTTTGATGTTGTTACAATACACAAGGGAGGCCGTTCAATATGAGTACAGTACACAGTGGTGGTTGTTCAAAGTTGGAACAGTACACGAGGCGCTAACGCTAAGAGCGCTAACAACAAATGAGATTCTCGGTCGTGGCGCAACGAGACGCCAAGGACATACTAGTCAATAATTCCTGAAAAATTATGCTCTTATAGTTATTATTCTTGAGTTCCACAGTATCATTTTCGTGTTACTGCTAAAGTTTATTTACATCCTCAGCAATAGGCATCATCACAACCCATAAAAAAACACGATGTCGATCAATTTCGAAGCTGTTTACTACCGGGGCCGAATTCGAGTGTTTGACTTTGGTGTGTTTTAAATGTAGCATAAAAGCGCCGAGCGAACTGGTTTCCCAACGCACTAAGTGGTTCTGGCGCGACTAGAAGAGCTTGGTTAAGGCCAGGAGTCCTGTGGCCAGTCCCAAGGAGGCCACGAGGGAGGCGCCGCCGTTGCACTCGTCGCCCTGGCAGTGGCAGTACTTCACCATGACGTCCTTCGTGCCGGTCCTGACGTAGCAGCCCCCGACGTCGGCCTTCGTCTCCTCGAGCCAGCCGCAGCCTCGCACGGTGCGCACGGTGTCCTGAACTGCAGGGGAGGAGAGAGGTTAGGTCTCGCTCGCTTTCAAAACACGAAAAGTATAACGGTCTTTACCCAAAGGTTAATCAAAATTTTATGCAATTTTAACTATAAGCTTGAAAAGGGAAATTATGTAATTTTTACATGTAGGCTAAAAAGGAAGCTATAAAATTTCATGAATAGGCTAGAGCAATTTAACTATAAGATAAAAAGGAAAATATAATTTTTTACATATGGGCTAAAAAGGAAGCTAAAAAATCTCATGAATAGGCTAGAGGAACTCAGATAATCTTACCAAGCTAAAGAGAGAGAGAGAAAAATATATACTTTAAGTTTTGAACAACATATCATGAAAATTATTTCTTATACTGAATTACAATAATTCTAAAATTACACATATAAACAACCTTAAGTAAGATAAAAAAAAAAAAAAAAAAAATAAGTATCAACGGACAATACAGCATGAGAGATTCAAAACATTCCTGTCTGCGAAATCAATGTATAGATAATGCACACGTCACGCCACCAACAAAGTGACTTAGCGTGTATTGGACAGAGCAGCACCGACCCACGATCGAAAACATCGAAAAAACAAAATCAGATTTAATATGTTTTCGAACGTAGGCAACGCAGGTAGGGAGGGCTGTGGGGTAAGGGGGAGGCTGAGAAGGCGTGGCTGTCGTCTCTTCTCTGATAAACTATCGGTACTTTCCTGTTAATCTTTTTTATAGCTGTTAATTTGTAATTTTTATGGGAACTGGAAAAAAAGTTAATTGTTCGGGAGGTTGGACAGTATATCGTAACATGGCTGAGGAAATTAAGAGAGAACGGAGAAAAAAAGGAGAAGGAGGAGACATCAAGCGGAAGGGTCGGAGAGAAAGAGGGAGGAAGAGGATGGGATTGAAGAGGTGAGGAAGAGGACGGTAAACCGTCTTAGGGTGAACGGAAAAAGAGGTAAGAAGAAAAAAAGGAAGAATGAGAGAGGAGCAGTACGAGAGAGAGAGAGAGAGAGAGGATGAGAGGTGATGACCGAGAGAGAAAGAGCTGATCAGAGCGAGATACTTAGCGCACGATCAAATCGCATGGATAGAACCTCGAGCGAACTGAGATGTACGCAAGACGGCGATTGGGGGCGAGGGAATAGCGGAGACAGGGAGCATCGGACGCGTTGAGACAGTCAGCAACCTCATGACGAGACACGGAGGAGGAGGGAGCGCCGGAGCGCGAAGAGGGAGGGGGAGCGGAGGAGGGGAGAGGGGGAGGGGCGGGAGGGAAGGAGAGAGGGGCAGAACAGAGAGAGACGATGCAGAGAGACCAAGAGAGAGCAGAGAGCGATACAGATAGAACGAAAGGAGAGCGGACTTAATACGATAGATAGCAGAGAGAGAGCAGAGAGATGAGGAGAAGAGACGATGACGAGAGGGAGAGAGAGTAGAGAGACGAGTAGGCTCAGAGCAGTGACTGCGGAATCTAGGCCGTACAAGGGATTACCGGGCGCGACTTGAAGCGACCGAGCCGAGAGACGAGACGAGAGACGAGAGAGAGAGAGAAGAGGAGTCGAGCGAGAGAGGGAGGAGAGAATGAAACCGTCACTGCACAATCGAGAGACGACGAGAACGAGACGAAGGAAGAACGAGAGAGAGCGATAGATGAGAGACGAGAGCGGATACGATAGACGAGGAAAGAGAGAGAGGAGAGGGAAAGGAGAGAGAGGAAAAGAGAGGACGAGAGAGAGATGAGAAGAAGACCAGACTAGTAAGAAGAGACCCGCGAGAAAGAGAGAAGAACGACGCTGGAGATACAGAAGAGAGAGAGAGAGAGCGAGAGAAGAGGGGGTACGGAGGGCCGACGGGAGAGAGGGGAAGACGAGAGAGAGCGGAGAAGAGGAGAGGGAGAGAGAGAGAGGGGACTAGAGGTAAAGGGTACCGACGAACACGCGCGAGACAGAGGGTCGAGAGCCGAGGAGAGGGAGACGAGAGAGAGGGAGAGAACGAGAGGGGGGCGAGAGAGAGAGAGGGAGAGAGAGAGGGCGATGAGAGAGAGACGGAGAGAGAGAGAGGGAGAAGGACGAGATGAGAAGAGAGGGGAAGAGAGAGAGGGGAGATGAGAGAGAGAGGGAGAGAGAGAGAGAGGGGAGAAGAGAGACGGAGAGAGAGAGGAGAGAAGAGAGACGGGAGAGAGAGAGAGGCGGAAAGGAGGAGAAGAGAGAGAGAGAGAGAGAGAGGGAGAGAGAGAGAGAGAGAGAGAGTCCGGGAGAGAGAGAGGGGAGAAGAGAAAGAAAGAGGAGAGAGAAACGAGAGAGAGAGAGAGAGAGATGAAGAGAGAGAGGAAGAGAGAGAAGAGAGAGAGAGAGAGAGAGAGAGATAATACTAATTTCAGTAATATTATTAACAATAATATTAATAGTAGTTGGACGACTACTGCTATTAATGATGATACTAATTTTAGTAGAATAATAAAAAAATGTATAATCACCATTACCACCAATCTTGCTAATACTATTACTGTCATCATCATCATCAATCGCATTATCCACCAGTGTTATCAAATCACCATTCATCTAAAATCATTCGTTGGCATAATTAATATTTCCAAAACAGTCGTGGTTACTGTGACCATCATTACCCACACAAATACTGCTAATTCGCTCGTTCTCATTACTATAAAATTGATGGTCCTATCCCATTAGCTATAATACATTAACATATATTATGCTCATTATTATGATACGAATAGTTGCAATTTTCTCCATTTTTCAGCATTTTAATTTTATAGCAAAGAAATGACATGTATAATTTGTCTGTGTATTTTTTTCTTTATTAGGCCTAGAAAAGATTAGATTAATTCGTAATAGTGATGACAGCAATAATGGTAATGATTTGCGTGTGGATATTCTGATCAGCAGTGATGATAATACCAACCACCAATAATTCATAGCATAAGTGATACTAATAGTAACATAATAATGAATAACCTTAATAAATATAATAATAATAATAGTGAATAATAAAAAAGTAATATATAATGATAATAATAAAATAATTAACATAATAGATAATAATATTATGAATAATAATAATAAATAATAATAATAATAATAATATATAACAATAATCAACTAATAAAATTTTGGACAATAACCATAATATGTCATTCAAACAATAACCGTAATAATAATGATGATGGTTATAATAATATATGATAGAATAATAAATTGATAATGACAAACTATAATTGATGATGATTGATGGATTGATTCGATTAATGATAATAATAATAAATAATAATAATCATGATAATAATAATTATAATAATCATATTCATTTCAATAAAAATAATAATAGTAGCAATAAATAGTAATAATAATAATTCTAATAAAATAATAATAATAATAATAATAATATAATAATAATAATAACAATGATATCAATGATAATTAATAATGACAATTAATAATGATGTGATAATGATAATGATAATGATGATGATGATATTATGAAATAATAATAATAATAATAGTAATGATAACAATATAAAAGATATATTATTAATAATAAAAAAAACAAAACAATAATAATGATACCGGTAATAAAATGAATAACAATCAATAATGATAATAAAAATAACAACAACAACAAATAATAATAATAATAATGAATAATTAATAATAATAATAATAATGAATAATAATTAATAACCTGAACAATAGCAAAAAAAAACAAACAAACTTAAAACAACCAACAATTAATTAGACACTATATTCATTCTTACTCTAAGCCATAAACAAGTAACATAAAATATCACTCTAATGACTGGCAAATTATTATACGTTATTCGTCTTGCCTGACTGCCTGCAATTTATTATTTAATGACTCTCTGTGCAATATTGCCTCACGTATTTTAGGGAGAGAGCTGGAGAGAGAGAGAGGGGGGAGAGGGCGAGAGAGGGAGAGAGGGAGGGGAAGGGAGAAGGGAGTGGAGGTGGAAGGGAGAGAGAGGGAGGGAGAGAGTCGAGAATGGGAGGAGAGAGGGAGAACAAGAGGAGGGAAGGAAGAAGAAGAGAGAAAGAGAAAGAGAAAGGGAGAAAGAGAGAAAGAGAGAGAAAAGGAAAAGGAAAAACAGAAAGAGAGAAGAGAGATGAGAGAGAGGAGAGAGAGGAGAGAGAGAGAGAGAGAGAGCGAAGAAAGAAAAGAGAGCGAAGAGCGAGAGAGAGAATGAGAGAGCAAAATGAGAGAGAGAGAGCAAGGAGAAAATGAAGGAGAGAGCGAGGCGAGAGAAAACTGAGAGAGATAAAGATAGATAGAGATAGATTAAGAGAGAGACGAGAGAGAGAGAGAGAGAGAGAGAGAGAGAGAGAGAGAGAGAAGAGAGAGAGAGAGAGAGAGAGAGAGAGAGAGAGAGAGAGAGAAAGAGAGAGAGAGAGAGAGAATGAGACAGAAACAGACAGACAGACAGAGGGAGGGGAATAAGAGCAGGGGAAAGGGTGATATATAATCATCATAACGATCAAAAAACAAATATTTTTTCTTGTAACATTTGAACTTTAATTGTTAATTACAAAACCTAACTGATTTTAATTTACAGAAGTTAAATAACCAAAGCGAATCAATGCAATGAAATGTTTATTGTTCATTGACTTTTCCGACAAAGGATCATGTGTTCTTTAAATATCAGTTTCATTTTCCAGCTGATTAATTTTCATTTAAAACGTTTGGTCTTTTCTATTTTTGTCATTATTATCATTATTCTGTTACGATCCTCTTTATCATGGTTGTTATTATTACTGCTAATTATTATTATTATTATCATTATTATTATTATCATCATTATTGTTATTATTATTATGATCTTCATGGTTATTATTATAGCTATTGATAGAATTCTTGTTACTATCATCATTATGGTTCAAAAAATTGAAACCAATTATATTGATGTGTATGTGTGTGTGTGTGTGTGTGTGTGTGTGTGTGTGTGTTGTGTGTTGTGTGTGTGTGTGTGTGTGTGTGTGT